GTTGTATTTTTGTTTTGATCTTTCATCACTGATCTTACCACTCTTACGCCGGATCTGAAAGTTGTATTTTTGTTTTGATCTTTCATCACTGATCTTACCACTCTTACGCCGGATCTGAAAGTTGTATTTTTGTTTTGATCTTTCATCACTGATCTTATCACTCTTACACCGGATCTGAAAGTTGTATTTTTGTTTTGATCTTTCATCACTGTTACTGAAGCCAGTATTCTAAACCACTTAAAAAGCAGTTTAAATATTGCGTTGCTTATAGTTTTTCTATGTATTTCCATCGATGTTAGACGGATTCTAAACATTAGGAGTTATGAAAAATCAGGTTCGAAACCCTCACAAACAAGAAATTAAATAACACAACAGGAGACGACGGGGTTATTATTTTAGCCTCTTAGTTGAAAGGTGTCGGGTTCGAGGCTTGGGTGATAGCCAATGGGAATGCAGGACTATTTTAATTCATTAGTTCCAAGGAATCCCAAGTTCTACTTTTATATTCCGTATCAGCATGAAAATTGATTGGACTTTTCAGGAGAACGACCTCTAAATGGTCACTTGTTTCGTAATTTATATATATTTTTTATCTTATGTGAATTCCTAGCATAAAAATCTTGTGAACATTTGTTAGAATCAAGGAAATTCTCTTAGAGATCTGACACTGTGAGACTTAATTGTTAAGGATTTTTTTTTTACTCGTTTTATTGCAAAACTACACAATGTTATCGATATCCGTGCTCCGTGTACAGCGGGAATTGAACTCAAAGTTAAGCCTTATAAACCATAAGGTAACGTAATAAGTTAATAATATTGTAATTATTGGAGGATCGTGTTGTCATATATCAACTGGTGTAACAGGTAAAATATAGGAAACATTTACATGTCTGTCCACCTAATGTTTGTTTAAATATTGTAGATGACTTTCTTACGAGTTGTGTTGTTTTATATCATATCTTTCATTCGTGTTAAATCCCTCCTCAAAAGACTTATCCTATACATCCTAAAGTAAAATAATGTAAAATTTTTATAAGTTTGGTTTGTACTGTTTAAAGATGGATAGCTTATAATAAAAAGAAAAAGGTTTTGATTTACAAAAGTTTCAGAAATCACTTATTCCACCTATCATTGAAGATGGAATAAGTATGTTACGAAGTTTTTGTTTTGTTTGTTTGAATGATTATACCATCTGCCAAATCAACTGTCGCCCCCCAGTGGCGCAGCAGTATGTCTGCGGAATTACAACGCTAGAAACCGGGTTTCGATACCCGTGGTGAGCAGAGCACAGATAGCCCATTGTGTAGCTTTGTGCTTAATTCCAAACGTTATTCCTACAATGAAATCTATGTAAAGTAATAATGTGTTTGAATTTTATTGTAATT